CCATTCTTCTCAGGCACAGTATTTGAGAAAACTTGTCTGTTCTCAATGCTTCTGCACAATATCTTTCTTTAAGAGAATTCTAGAAGGCCCCAGGCTGCCTCCCAGGGACAAGGCTAAGGCCCTGTTGGGTAGCTGGGAGGAAACACTTGGGGCAGCCACTACTCAGGAACTAAGGTTCTGCTGACTCTCACCTGCTTGCTGAGGTGGTTGAATGACCAAGTGCTGTCACAGTCCAAGGACAGGGCTGCAGGACCAAAAGTGAGGGAGAAATGGGGGCAACTCTTCAGCTGGTTGTTCCCAGTAACTCATGGAGTGAGGGCTCAGGCCCATGACTGTCCAACATTGTGTTGGCAGTCAGCCCAGGAAGTGGGGGTCTTAGGCCCACACTCCTTGACCTGACCTTCCTTTTCCCCCAGATTTTCATGGGTTGGGTTAAGGACAATTTCTTTTATTTTCTTCTGATGCTGGGGATGGAACCCAGGGCCTCACGCCTGCTAGGCAAGTGCTCTACCACTGAGCTGCACCCCCAGCCCAGGATAAGAACAACTTGTTGAAAGCTGGAAACCTTCATTACTAGTGCCAAAAATGTTTTCAATCACAATATGAAGCTGGCATTCAGTGATCTGGCCCTGGTAACATTTGTAAAAAATATTTTATTTTTCCAAAACATTTTTAAAAATAGTTAAATAAAATGAAATGCAGCTGGGAGGAAGATATTGGTTGTCAGCTGCTACTGCATCCTTTTTATTTTTTCCCAAGGAGAGAGACATGTCATCTGGACTGCTGGAGAGAGACCTGAAGACAGGCTGGGAGCCACACCTTCCATGTTTAAAAGGGCTCTCTCCTGCTTCTTTCATTGCCTGCTGGGCCAATCACCTGTGTATAGGAGACCCTCATTCCTTTGGTTCCTGCTCAGCACCCTCACACTCTAACCTTTATCTGGAAAATCTCTTATCCTTGACAATGGCTTTGTGGAGGACGTCCCCATGGCATGTTCTGGAGCTGTTTTGCTGGGACAGCAGATCTGATGGAACTGGCTTCAGGGTCAGGGAGGGTGGAGGCCAATATAAATGTTCTGGAAGCATACAGCTTACTTATATTAACCTGTACCTGATGAGTGTGTGAGAACAGACAGAGGATTTGGTCTAACACTTAAAATTAAAAATGAGTGCATAATTATGTTGGCTCACAAGATAGCTAGGAAATGACCTTGGGACTATCTGGTCAACCCTCAGTTTACCTGGAGGTTTATGACCCCTTCTCCAAGATGCACACCAGTGACCAATATGAGAGAGCTATGTGCAACTACACAGGCTTGACTCAAACCCTTTGAGCTATTGTCCTCCCATGGATCCTGCAGATTGGTACAGTCCCACCTTAGAGAGAAAGTGAGGCATTGACTAGTTTAAAGTGATGTGCCTAAGGATGAAATCAGGAGAAGCAGCAGGGTGATGGTTACACATGAATGTTAACCCCGTATTCACTGATGCACACTCCCTACTATTCTCTCTTGGCTGGGCAAGGACACCAACAACCTTGTTCTCATTTCACAGCAGCTGAACTTGGCAGCTCCACACAACTTATAAAGGACCTTCCCTCTAGGTTTGGAGTATACCATAACTGCCCGCTATGGTGACCATTCAAAGCAACCTGTAGTTTTGTCAGGCCCATTATTTATTGTTGCAGGGAGATCCCCAACTCAGATACTGCCTAGTTTTGAGGCCTGGGCCACCTCCGTAGCTGGCCCACCCTTGGTTGAAACCAAAGGTTGAAATCCACACTTCAGAATCAGCTGTCCATTTTGATTCAGAAATCCTATGGGGGCCTGAAAAGCACACACACATCATGGAGACAGTCTCCTTCTCACACTGGTCTGGGTAGCAGGTGGCTTGTTGGGCAGAGCAAATTAACTTACCTACAATAGCTGAAATTCTAATTCCTGTTTGAGCCCCACCTGTAAAAAGACCTTAGAGTAGGAAATAAAAGAGGAGCTGCCCCCAAATCACTACCTGGTGAAGCTTAGCTGTGTGACGCTGTCTGGGAGCCTTAATGGAACAGCTATGTGGCTCTAGGCCCTGGTCTAACTGGCTCCCTGGCTTAGCAGGCCATGGAGGTTGGTTTCTTAGTCTTCACTTGATATTACCAGGGAGGATGATCTGAGTGGGTGACACAACAGGTATTCTTAAGAGGGCCAGTCTGGCCAGCTTATGAAGTGAAATGAGATGGCACATTCTCTCTTTTCCACTTTTGAATGTGATTCCTAGGAAGGGACTCTGAGAAGATTCAGTGTTCAGGAGAGGTTTTGGAACTATCAGCTCTGGCAGTTTGTTGGGAGGAGAGGGGGGGGACTTCTAAGGTTGCCCCAGTGGCCTACCTTAAACAAAATCGCTATTTCCTGCCATCAGGTGATGCCATCAATTGTCCTCAAATCCTGCTTTTGGGTGCTCTGGTCCAGAGAATCCCTCTGGAAACAAAAGGTGACAGGGACCAGGTGCCCATCAACTCTACTTGGGCCATGATCATCTTTCCTGTCAGGAGTTGAAGGCCATCATATATTCCCACTTGAGCCGGTTATAAGATTTTATCCACTGGGCACAGTGGTATCCACCTGTAATCTCAGCTACCCATGAGGCTGAGGCAGGAGGATTGCAAATTTGAGGCCAGCTTGGGCAACTAAGTGAGACTATTTCAAAATCAAAAAGCATGCCTGTAATCCCAGTGACTCTGGAGACTGAGACAGGATGATTACAAACTTAAGACCAACCTCAGCAACTTGGTGAATCCCTAAGAACTTAGTGAGACCCTGTTTCAAATTAAAACATTAAAAAAGGCTGGGGAGGAGCTGGGGTTGTGGCTCAGTGGTAGAGCGCATGCCTAGCACGCTTGAGGCACTTGGTTTGATCCTGGGCACCACATTAAAACAAACAAATAATAAATAAAGGTACTGTGACCATCTACAACTAAAAAAAAAAAAAAAAAAAAAAGCGGGGTTGGGGATGCTGGGGAATGTGGCTCATAGGCTAAACAACCCTGGGCTCAATTCCTAGTACCCCCCCCCCCCAAAAAAAAATAGAGCTGGGGATGTAAAAAAGAGGAAGTAGCCTTTTGGGTTCAATTTTCAATGCTGAAAACGACAACAAAAACAATGTCAGAAAATAACAACAAAAAGATTTTGTCCTACTCTTTCCTACTTACCATGCCCACCATTGTCCTGGCCAGGCCCCTTTTCCTTCTGGAGTAGCTGGAACGCTCTGCAGCTTCCATTGCAGTGACTGACTCAAACTGGTTCCAGGTCTGCAAGGTTCAGTTTCATGTTCCTGTTGCTGGTCTGTCCCTTTCTGCTGCTTCCTTACTTCTTAGAAAGGAGCCATGATCATGAACTCAGAGATACTGCTATCCACTGACAGATCAATATACCACAGATGGGGTAAATGGCACTGAAAGGTGCCTTGGAGGACTCTCAGAGAACAGAGGGAAAAGAGCTGGTCAGCACTCTTCCTTTTGTTCTCTTGTGGATGATTCCAGGCCAAAAGGTGATGTCAACCCCCTCTGGGACTTTATGCACTGAATGAACTTGGGGATATTGAAACATGTGAATGATTTGAGCTTGAAGACTGCAAATCTGAAGCCCCTGGGCTCCCTGGCCAGCTGGAAGGAAGGCTGCCAAGAACCTAGGATTGCTTAGACTTTGAGAATCTCTATTTCAAAGAATATGCTTTCCTACAAGATGCTACTGAGGCTCAATTATAAAGGGCAGATTTTTACCTAATGTGGGTGTTTGCCTCAGATAGTGTCTCAAGTGACAGCCTGAAGCAGAATATGAAGAACAAAGAAAAGCACAGACACACAGACATTTTGTGTGTGTGTGTTTGTGTATGTGGTACTGGGGTCTGAACCCCCAGGTGCTTTACCACTGAGCTACATCCTCAGCCCTTTCTAGTTTTAATTTTTTTAATCTTTATTTATTTATTTTAACTAGACACAACATCTTTATTTTATTTGTTTTTATATGGTGCTGAGGATCGAACCCAGGGCCTCGCACATGCTAAACGAACGCTCTACCTCTGAGCTACAATCCCAGCCCCTCTATTTTTTATTTTGAGACAGGGTCTCACTAAATTGCTTAGAGTCTTGCTAAGTTGCAGAGGCTAGCTTTAAACTTGTGATCCTCCTGCCTCAGTCTCCCAAGTTGCTGTGATTACAGGTTGTGTGCCACTGCACCAGGCTAAAGAAGTTGTATTCATTAAATAACCCTATACACACCCATATATACACTAGATATAAGATTCACACAGCTAGCACCTATCTAGAAAGGCAGGTAGTGATATGAAAATGTATCCTGGCTCATTGTCAAGTACACTAAAATGACTCAAGAAATACACTTTATTTTAAAAACTTTTATTGCGCATAAAACAGTCCATTTCCCTTTGTGGGTCAGATATTACCACCTTTTAACTTTTTTTTTTTTTTTCTTGGCAGTGCTGGGGATGGAACCCAGGGCCTTGTGCATGCTAAGCACATACTCTACCACTGAGCTACACCCTCAACTTGTAAATTTGTTTTAACTCTTTCCTCCTTTCTGTTCCATTGAAAAAAATTCTTCTCCTTTGAAAGTGTTAAGAATAGTCTATCATTGCTGGTCAAAATCAGCTTTAGAGTGGCTGCTAGGGGCAAAGGTCCAAAGACATTAACGGGGTTGGAATCCCACACACAGCTGCTGGCCATCCTCAAACTTGGGAGTTAGGGGCCGACTTCTGCCCACCAGGGATGCTGAACATGGATCCCCAACTATACATAAACTTGTATAGGTTTATTCAAATAAACTCCAACATTTTGTGTGTGTCTGCATGTATATATACCCTGCTTCCCTGCCTTCAAGGGAAGACTTAATTCTTGGGAAGAAAATCTGCTTGGAGCTGCATGCATTTCCAGAGTGGAAAACATTTCATGTAGCAAGTCACCAGATCACTAAAATCAACTGCAAACTAGTGGTTACAAACTGGGAGCTTTTTAAAAATTTTTTAATTTTTATTTTTTAAAGTGCTCTATGAGAACCTGAAGCCTTAACACTGTCAGGAATAGAAAACTGGGAGGCATCTTACAGGCTGGTTGAGGCTTCTCTGCCATCTTTAGCCCCCTTTTGAGTGACAATAGGAGCAGCATGTGCTTTGAAGGATGAAGTGATGCCAAAGTTGGCTGGGACTGGTGTTTCTGCTGCACGAGGCCATTTGAAGCACAGCTCTACTGCCACATCCCTTTTGAGTCACTTTGGAAACCAATTCCTAGTTCTGGGTTTAGCAGGAGTGACAGGGACAGAGGCAGCTTTGCTGGGGCTTGACTGTTGTGGTGGCATTCAAGAGAGAGGGTTAGTAAAAGGCCACAAAGGCAATGACAGTCCTATCCCAATTTTACTGGAAGATTGGGGTGTGAAGATGGAATCTAGAACACCCTCCTCCTCACTTTTAGGAACAGAGAATAAAAACGGAGATGTTGCCTCACTAGAAACCAGGAAGTGAAGAAGTCAGAGTTGTGATGGTTGCTAGCAGCACATCTGGATTTCCACAGGAGAAAGATGGCAGCTTTTAGAGAAACTGAAGAATAGGACAGATTCTTTGCTCCATTGTAGTTAGAATGAATGTTCGAGTTGAGGCACAGTGTGGTTCCCATGGGAAGTCCAAGGTCAGTATGGACCCTTGGCCTGTCCTGCCCCACGGACATCTGAAGAATTGCCAGGCCTATTCATTCTACACCGGCCCTTCCCACAAGGAGTCAGCTGCAGAGCCCCTTCGAGACTGGCCTGGCACTGATGGAATCATCTCTGGGATGACCATGTGCTAATTCTTTTGATAGGCAAGCACTCCCCAGCCCTTGACCTTCTTAGTCAGTGGCTTGATGAATTGTACACACCCGTTCTCTGGTTGAACCATGAAAAATGAACAGTTTGACTTGTAGAGCTAGTTACATGGTACTTATTAGCCCTTACCACCTCAAGAAGATTCTAATTCAGGGGAGGGAAGACAGGGCTGGAGTTGCCTGTCTGTGAGAGACCAGCCTAAATGTTGATACTGGCAGCAGCACATGTTTTCCTGTCTGGCTGGACCTTCAGCTAGGCTGAGGGAATTCCTATCAGCCAGACAGATCACAGGAGCCACTTGACACCCTCTCAGAAGAGGGCTTATCCCCAAATCTTCTTTAACATATGCGTGGAAGGACGTAAACCCTGGCACCAAGATTGAGAAAACAATGGGTCCTACAGAGCCAACATTCCAACAGCCAGAGACCAGCGTGGCATCTTTGCCTTTCAGCATGGCTGCTGACAGTGCTGAAATGTATCCTTGACAAGTTAATGGTTCTGATGTTAAAGTCCAGTGCCACAGCAAGAGCAGGGTGCCTGTGGAGGAGGAGAGGGCTGGACACAGTTACAGGGGGACAGAAAAGCTGTGAGCAAGGACCCAGAGGGTCTCAAGCTGCTCCCTGATGCCAACCAGATCAGTAACACTACGAAGAAGGCTAATAAATAGATGCATATAACAAGCGTTCAGTCAGTTTTGAATCAGGCTGTGTAGGACTTAGCAGACCTCTGTTACCCCTATATGTAGGTGCCAGGTGATCAGTGTCTCTAGTAAAGATATAAAAATGAAGTTGCTTCTTTTCAAGTATTAAAAAAATAAGTTAATTGACAAAAAAGATCTGAAGTGGCTGAGCATCTTGCCAGGTCCTCAGCTTCATTTCAATGTGCAAACACAGGAAAAAACACCAAGGAAGAAGGGAATCTCTTGCCCCACTGTGAAGCGCTGAATTGTGACAATGCCTGTCTGTCAATGGGGGGCTTGATGTGTAGGGTCCCCCCCGTCCCCAAAGTTAGTACTTTCCAGTGTCAAAATGGTTGTGAACTAAAAGCAAAATGCAGCAATCCATGGGCTTCGGGCCTCAGCCAGAGAGAGGCCTGGGGCATTTGGCCACTCGGAGTCCAGTGTGTTGTGTGGGGGCTGGGGACAGACCCCTCTTGCATCCTCATAATTTGCATAATGAACTCAGAGCCTGCCTATCCCTCAGCTTCCCCTGCAATGCTGGGGTGGTCACTGCCCTGACCGGTCATTGCCCCTCTCCCATACTCTATCCACATCTTGCTTGTGGGGTGTTTTTTTCTTTCTTTGGTGGTGCTTCAGGGAGCATGAAGAAGGCAGCTGCCCTGTTCTGCGGGGTGCTCTCTGTAGTGGCGGTGTCTTTGAAGAGAAGGAGCAGCTCCCTTCTCTTACCAAACATGCTGGCGGAAGGAAGGGGCGCCAGGCAACAGGTCCTCAGGGACTGTGCGGAGTTCCCCCACTGCACCATACATCTCTTGCTCTGCTTCTCTTTCTTGAGTGGGAAGTCCAGGTGGGCCTCTTCTCAGGAGGCGGAGTCATCTCAGATAATCATCATCACCTGGGGTTTCACCATAGCACATGAGCATGTGGATGGCTGAATGCAAACTCCCAGGAAGTGCCAGGCTTCCTTGGACCTTAGATCCAGGTGGTTTGGGAGAACATAGCCAGGTGGATGCTGACATTCCAAGCAGTGTAACGGCCACAAACTCAGGACCAGTTCAGGCTGAAACCCTTTGACAGCATAGCCGCCTCCAGGTCCTTGTCCTCCTCTTTTTCCCGGAGCCGCTGCTCCTCCAGCAGGGCCACCAGAGAGTCTCTCTGCTCCACAACTTCCAACATCTCGTTCAAGATCTTCTTCTCCTCTGACAACTCCTCCTCGGTCTTCAGGTGATCTGAGGAGTAGCCAAAGTCACAAGGTGTGTGGCTTGGGAGGTGGAAGCCCATACCAGCCTTCCCCTGTGCACCTCCCCTCACCCACTTACCTTCCACTGCCATCCGCTCCCGCAGTTCCTGCTGTAGTCGGCTCTGCCGATCTTCCAGCTCTAACTCTCGGGCACTGAGATGGGGAAGGAGACAGAGACAATGACTTGGGGGGCAACTACTCACCCCACCAAGTTAGGATTGGTGTATCTATGACAGACCCAGTGCCTATGTTCCCTCATGGATAGGCCCCCAAATCTCAGACTACTCACAAAATCATCAACTCCGACTCATAGCGCACCATGGCATTTTTTTCTTGCACCAGCTTGAACCACTCTTGCATCAGCTTAGGGTCATCCTTCTTGCCCATGCCTGCCGAAAAAGACTGTGTGTCAGGCAGCAAGGGAGGGTATCTTGGTCTCCCCTGGCCCACAGGAATCATCACACTGGGGCAAATGTGCAAAGAGAGCCGAGCAAGATGCTGCCGGAACACTCCCAAGCCAGGTCCAAAGTTTGCCTACAGCCTTGGGGGGTGGGGGTTGGGGGGCAGATAATGATAGGCCCCTGCATTGTGCAGACCCCAGGGCCTAATGGAGCCTATGCTTTTTGTCTGTTCTGTTCAGTCCAGGCCCTGCCCTCATCCCTGCCAATAATCCTGGCTGGTTGTGACTGTTCCCTCCTCATAGGCTTGTTGATACTTTTTCTGCTTAGAAGCTTTCTTTTGTGTCTTAAATTGCTTTGTTCTTCCTTCTTAATTTTTTAAATTCATTTAATATTTATTTGGCACTTGCTATGTTCTGGGTCTCCTTGGAGGAGAAAACCAGTCTAATAAAAATGGCAAATTTAAATTTATAAACTACACTTTACTCTTTCACCCTCATTTAACCCAGTTCTTTCCTAGGCTGCTGCTCTTCTCTGGGGCCACTAATATTGAGGCCTCATAATTGCTTTGTATCCTAATCAGAAAGACACCCTTTCTTTTTCTTTTTTGTTTTGGTAACAGGGATTGAACCAGGGGTGTTTAATCACTGAGCTACATCCCCAGCCCTTTTTATTTTGAGATGGGGTCTTGCTAAGTTGCTCAGGCCCTCACTAAATCACTGAGGCTGGCTTTGAACTTGTGATTCTCCTGCCTCAACCTCCCCAGATGCTGGGATTATAGGCATGTGCCATTATGCCTGGCAAGAAACCATTTCTTAACATGTGGCTGGACATAGTTCTTGACAAACACTCTAGGAGGGACTGTGTGGTAGACACAGGGCATCCAGGATAGCTGTCAGCAGACCATCAGCAGACCCGCACACCCTAGAGACTGAGGAAGGTGGCCACCCCCTGTTCTGATCCAGTCCCACCACCAGTTTTTGGGCCTGGTACCTGACTGCTGACTCAGGCCAACCTGAACCAGCACAGGACTAGTCTCCATAAGGAGCAACACAACCCTCTGGGCTTAACTGCAGCAGGAGGATAGAGGAAGAACCTTCCAAGGAATCACACCATCCAAGGAGGAAACAAACTTCTTTTCCTTGGAGCATAAATCTGCTCATGGCCAAAGTTTGGTCCTGCCTAAGAGACAGACTATGTCAGTGGCTCGTTAATATTTTGGGGTTACAAACCATTTAAAGCATTTCATGAAAACTAAGGACTTTTGCTAGAAAAATGCTTATATATATGCATAATTATTATTATTTTGTGGTGCTCGGGATGAAACCCAGGACCTTAAGCATGCTAGGGAAGTGCTCTACCACTAAGTTACACTCCCATTTCAGCATCAAACAATTTTAGACAGAATTTCAGGGTACTCAGGGGCTTTCTGAAGTACATCTATAGGTCTCAGGTTAAGAGGCACTAAACTGGGAAATCTCTCAAAGTATTCTCTATTTTCTGAGTTGCTTGGTTGGATGTCCCAGCACAGTGATTAGTGTTATAGCCCAGGAGTATGTACTATGTACATCCTCAGGTGGGTGGCTCTCAGAATTGCTCCTTACTCATTCTTGCCCGCATTCTACCATCTGGCATTCTTGCACACTAATCAAAGACAAAGCTCTTGTGATGTTGTCTTCTTGACCCACATAAGGCCTAAGCCAGTCAGCCAGTGGCCCCACTCCAGAGAGGCAGAGATGCACTGCGTTCACACAAGCAGGAGTTAGTGTCTGCATTGTGCCCCAGTGAACATACAACTTTGCTCCTGAGGTGGCATGCTGTCTCTGAGCTCTACTCTCAAGGATGGAAGCTCCCCACTCCACAACTCCTGGCCTGTGGAGCCTGCGACTGTGCAGTGCAGCATGTGTGTCTTTGGGCCTGAGCTCTCCTCACCCGATCCAATAGACTTGGGTCTTTGGCTTTTAAACCAGCCTACAGCTCAGTTCCATGCATTCCTTCCGGAGCGTCTCTGCACAGTGTGCCCACATGGCCATGAAGATGGAGCCCTGAGACATGCAAGCTTGTCCAGTGTGGCAAGCTGAGGGCACACCGGGAAGTCTCTCCCTCCTTCCCACCTTCCCATGTATAAAGACAAAATTTCCACCAGGGTACATCTGAACACTGCTCATGAGCCATGGTGGAGCTTGTTCACAGCCGATGAGTAAGGGGATGTGGTGGGGAGGGTGAAGATCACATGTGAGAGCCATGGAGAGCAGAGTAAGAGATTAGCAAGGGTTAGTCATGGCCATACTCCCCCTTCCCCTGCCCACATGCCTTGTCAATGACAATCTTATCACCACAACAGACTTCAGTCAGACCAAAAAATAAACACCAAAAAACAAAACAAAACACACTCAGCAAGACACAAAGTAGAGAAGTTTGCTTTAGTGTTTGTTTTGGTAAAGAACTTGGGGGCATTTGTGTAGATCAGTCTTTGTAAGGACAGTATTCCTTGACTCCGTCAATACAAATCCATCTGGTGGACCTGATGCTTAAAGGCCCAAGTAAAAATGGTTATGGGGGATGGGGGGAAATGCTGCAGAAGGTCTGCAGGTTGTAGGAAGTCTGTAGACTTCAGTTGCCGGGCCTGGAGGCTCTCCAGCTTCCCTCTGTACCCGGGTCCTCCCCTCAGACAGTCAAAGGGATACTGTGCCTTGTAAGAAACTGCCACATATTCATGACATTCTAAAATAGGACTGTCACATATCAGAGAGAAAGAGAAATCGTTGGGCTGTGGCTCCCTGTGGAACTAATGTGGCTCTGACCCTCTGAGGCAGTGGGATGAGGCGGGTGAGGTTACGTTACCTTCCTGGACACAGCAAGGGCAGAAGGAGAGAGGTCTACGCCGTGGAGTCCCGCCACTGGGCTCAACTTCAAAAAGGACCAAACAAGGAAGAGGAGGAGGAGGAAACGGAGAAAGACAAAAAAGGAAGAGGAAAAGAGGAGGAGGAATTTGGAAGTGGAAAGGGACAGGGTGAGGGTGAAATAAAAAACAAGCAGAGGACAAAAAGCATAAAAAGTGAGAAAGGAACAACAGGAGGAAAAGAAAAAATACAAGAAATGGAGAAGCAGAAACAGGGGAAACAAAGTCTACAAATGAATTAAGTCCTTTTTTCAGCACAGAAACTGAACAAGAGCGGGCTCAGGCATCAGGAGCAGTCACTGATATGGGTGTGACTTGAGGGAAGGATGGTGGGGTCCTCCTAAAGATGCAGGTACTCCTTTCATGAAGCAGAAGCTCACAACCAAGTGGGCTGTGCCTTCCTCTTCTATTCCTTACTGGTAGCATGTGAAATTTAGGTGGCCTTCATGGGTGTTGAGCTCCCTCCTCAAAAATGCCCAAAGCCCCTGGGTATGTCTGCCTACCTCTGTAAAACACTGTCTTGAATATGGGGGTAATATTGTTTCTAGGTAGGAAAGTGGTGCCAACCAAACCTAAGTGAAATATTCTAAGATGTGCTCAAAATTAAATTAACCTTAGATAAGTCTTAAGGGGCAATGAGGGGTCTGCTACCTTCTGGTGCTGTGTCTATAGAAAGGACCTGAGTCTATGGAGGCAGCACCCTAACTGTTGGTGGGCCTGCAGAGCTCTGGCACCTGCAGTGTTCAAATTCTGAGCCAGGACAATTTTGGGAAAATGTGGACACACAGAAGTGACTTCCATTGGTTTGTATCACTATCCCTTCCACATGCCAGGGAGAGCCAGCCACCCCACCTTTTCTTCTGGCCTTTCCATTTCTTGGAGGGGTTCAGTGTCACAGCTGGGGGATGCTGTTGCATTTAGGATCAAGAGGGGTGTGCTGACAGGACAGGCCAATAACTCACACTAATGATGTTGGTAAGAGTGGGGCAACTGAGAGGAGACAGTGTGCAGAGAGACATCTCCAGACCAGTTGTAGGGGAGACCTGATGGTCACTCAAGGAAGAGGGAGAGGAGCTGAGCAAGGGACCATCACAGAACCACAGCAGCACACACAGGGGACAGTGAAGTCCATGGACAGGCTTTGGTGGGGATCAAAGGGGAAGGGCTGCATGGGTGGCTTATAATGAGAAGGGAGTTTAGGTCAACAGGAGGGCCAAACAGACAAACCATTCTACTTTGCAATGGAATAAATGCAGGGATCACTTTTTTTTTTTTTCCTTCTCAGACCTTCGCCATTCTGCACAGTGCTTTGTACAGTCAATTTGATACCGGGTACAACTTTAATACGAAAGCCAGATACAGAAAACGGGTGTGTGAAATGCTGATTACATTCAGTGTTCTCAATAGATCAGACCATGACCAGCTGATGCCTGGTCACATGGGAGGAGGATTTCGTTCTTTAAAAACTTTGTTTGCCTTAGAGCAGACTTATATTCAAATTTCTTGGTTTCAAAATGTAGAGTCTGTGTTGAGGTTCAGAATACCTGGATAAATCCCTTAAATAAAATGTCAATAAACCACTTCTGTTGCTTCCTAGAACCAAGGTTATATGTGAAAAGGCTGTGTGTTGTGCAGTAGAATAGCATCCATATTGATTAGCAAGGACAGTGACACAATATACAATCAATACACATCCAAAATCAAGTAGGAACAAGCATATGCATGTATGTGTGCATTTCTACTTTTTGGACATCACAAAATATAGCCTTTATCTCCTTTTATATAGATCACATTCCTCTTATACCCTTTCTGATATAGTGTACAACTTGAGATAACAAGATATTGAAAACAGAAATTAGGAAACAAAATTAGAAAAAGGGGGCATCAGGTAAAGCATGTGTTTAAAAAAAGAAAAGGAAAGGGGGAAGGCACTGTGATAACAAAAGGCAGAAGGAAGGGTATAGAAGACTGGAAGAGCTGGTCCCTCTTATCCCTCAAGGAGGAGGTGAGTAGACTGGTGCTTCAGGGCTGGTACTTTTTTCTTTAGTGTCCACAATTTCCACAATGAATTTGTACTGCTTTTATAATC